GTACTTTCTCCTCCCTGGGAGCCTCCATTGCTAACCCTAATAACACCTAATTGAGTGATAAGGGGATTTGCCTTATCAGGCCCCAGATTACAGCTGGAAAACAGGAGGCCAAAGGAAGCAAGGCTGCTTTTGCTTTCTTCTTGACCTGGTATTTAGCTGGCAGGAGAGTACAGGCCAAGTTCAGCCCCAGAGGTCTGGTACTTTCCAAGCTTTTTCTCTGGTGGTGTTTGTTCTGTGCTAGGACTCTCAGAGTAGGCACAGCCTGCTTTGGGAGCTTGCTGCTTGTTTCAAGACCAAGATGCTCGCCGCTTCATCTCTAACCCCCTACTCAGCTTGGGGATAATAGGAGAGGAGCCCCCTTCAGACTGAGGGATACACCTGTGAGGGGGGACTGAGGAGAGGGCGGGGCAGCTGGGTTGCAGGGAAGGCGGTGGTGGGGAACGAACCCGAGGGCCCCTGGGGACCCAGAATCTTTGTTTTAGAAGAAATGGTTTTAGGTTGAGTCTCCCTTGATCCGGTTTTCTCAAGATGTGGTTCTTGGGCCCACAAGCTGGTTTAGTGGGTAAAGGTGTTTGCTGCCAAGCCTGACAGCTTGTGTTTGGTTCTCAGGACCCACGTGGTAGAAGACAACTGACTCTTAGAAGTTGTTTTCTGATCTTCACATGTAGAGTGTGACACATTAGAAAGAAAGAAATAAGATATAATCTTCACTGTGCCGTATAGACAGCCATGGACCTCGCTCATCCAGTAGTGGTTCCATATAATTGTCACAGAGGGCTGGGGGTGCATGACAGATCCTGAGTGTCTGCTCTTTGAAACATACTTGCCTAACATGCATGAAGCTCTGAGTTTTGTCCTCAACGCTGTGTAGAGGTGCACGTCTATAATCCCACCCTGCTCTTTAGGAGGCTCAAGGTTCTTTTATATAGTGAGTTTGGAGCTAGTCTGGGCTACACAGTGAGACCCTGTTTCAAAATCAAATAAATAGGAAAGTTTGCTCTCTGCAAAACAGTGCACTACATTGCAGCATGGCAGTGTTGTGCATGTCCTGTTTACAGCATCCCCCTCTTGAGTGGCTTGCATCTGTGAGGTTTCTCTATGGATGTCCTATGGTGCATCCTCAATGACTGAGTTGTTTAGGTGTGTATTTCTCAGAGCAGGTGCACACTGCTGATAGGGCAGGATTGTGTAACTTTGGTTATGGCACGAGCAGCCTGGAGATGGTGCAGTGGATGTGGATGTGGCTGTTGAGTCAGCTCTGATGAGAGAGAGCTGATGACACTTTGAACCTTGGACAGGGTGGAGCCTGGGCCCTCTACCTCCCCATCTCGTCCTCTAAAGAGTACTGAGTTGGCTGGCACAGACTCTTCCTGGAAATCCTGTCTCTAGGGGGAAGGGAACATGGGCTCTAAAGCTTGGGCTGGGGAGAACTCCTAATTACTCAGGCTGCAGGTCCTGTGTGTGTGTGTGTGTGTGTGTGTGTGTGTATCCTGGGTTGCTAGGGAAACCTGAAGAGGGTGCAGCTCCTACCCTGTACTTCCTCTCCATAGAGGGAGGATTGATTGAGAGTGGGCTCAAGTCTGCCTCTAGGGCCTTTGAGTCTTAGAAATGTGCAGAGAATAAACAGCTGGATGGGTGGATTAACTCTGTGTTATTGCTATGGGATAAGTATGCTGACTGCATGAATGAGTGAATGAATGAATGAGTGAGTGAATGAGAACCATATTGCCTAGAAGGTCCTTGGGGAATCCTCCTAGAGCAGTGGTTCTCAACATGTGGGCCACAATCCCTTTCAACAACTCTCTATCCCCAAAAATAAAATATTTACATTATGATTGGTAACCGTAGCAATTTTTTTTTTTTTCTGAGACGGTTTCTCTGTAGCTTTGGAGCCTGTCCTGGAACTCACTCAGTAGACCAGGCTGGCCTTGAACTCACAGAGATCCACCTGCCTCTGCCTCCTGAGAGCTGAGATTAAAAGCGTGCTCCACCCCTGACTGGCAACCATAGCAAAATTACACTTATGAAGAAGCAATGCAAATGTTTTATGGTTGGGGTCACCACCACATAAGGAGCGTTATGAAAAGGTAGAGGCATTAGGAAGGTGGAGAACCACTGCCCTAGAGGCCCTGAGTCTTGTGGTATGGTCCATCTTTATCTAAGCTAACGGAGGGGCCTGTTGGAATGGACCACTAGCCAAAGAGAGTAAGAGCGCCTGTTGCAAGAGGAGCCTGTTGTTTTTGGCATCACTTGACTCAGGCTCGACTTGATCTTTGAACTAGTCTCTTCAGGGCCTGGAGACTTTCCAGGGCCAGAGAAAGTTCTGCGCCTTAGGTCACTGTGGGCTTCTGTCCTGGGGAAGGTAGGGGGACGGTCTGTGGGATTTCTGTTTCTGCATCACTTTTGGGGGGTTGCAGGGAAGAGAGGCCTGGTGTGGGTGGGGTGGGGTACTGAATTTTTTTCCTACCTGAATGTGATCCTGGTGTGTGTGTGGGTGGGTGGAAACTCCTGGGCCTACATAAATCTGTCCAGAGCCAGGGGGTGAGGAATGATTGGCATCGCTGGAGGTGAGCTTGTAGCGTTCTGGTTCTTCCACTGAGAGAGCAGCTGAATTGTGCTGGCCAAGAGGGATCTCGACAGACAGGAGTGTTGGCTTTGATTTATCTGCTTCCAGGGATGGCAGTGTCCAACATGGTGGGTGGGAGGGTGAAGCCTGGAGCCCCGCTGGACTCAGGCCACGTCCAGCTAAGGATCCACGGGGTAGATTACCATTCCGCTGTCAGTCCCTAGACATTTCTGCCTCCTCTCTCCCTGTTCCCAGGGCTACAGGAGGAGGGGACTTGGTGGATTTCATTAGCTTTGCCTTCTTTTAACTGTCTAGTCTCCATAGTAACCCTAGGAGATGGGCCTCACTGTTCTGTACTGGAACATGGCTAATGGGAGGCAGGATTGGGTAGCCTCAGAGGCAGCCCCTGTCTTGTTCTGCCTCCTCTTCCTTGGCCAGGCAAGGGTGGGAGGGAGGAGTGTGACTAGCCTGTGAGTGTGACTGTGGGAAGAAGAATGAACATACCCCCTCCTCTAGCTAGGTGCTTACCCTCCCTCCTCTTCAAGATCTTGCCAGCAAATGTCCCTCTTCCTCATCTTCAATCCTGTAGGCCTCTCTCTGGCTTTATTTCCCTAGCCTGTCAGCTCTCCCTTCCTCCTGGAATGCGGCCTCAGGGCCACACCCACCCCACATGGGTTTGTTTTGTCCCCACCAGGTGACCTCTGGGCCCTCACATTCCTCCCCATGGAAAAGGGAGAAACACATGGCCCCACTCCCTCAGCCTGGCCACTCTGTCCTGCTGAGCACGGCTGGGCTGACGGAGGCCCAGCCAACCGCATTCCTATCTCTCTGACCCAGAATGACGCGTAGAGTTCTTCACTTTGTCTAAAGCATAGTCCAGACCACTGTGCATCCTCAGAGTAGCCCTTGGATAGGTGGCATTTCTGCTCAACTGTAACATCCCTCTCATTTCCCAGCAGCACTCAGCCCAGGGTACTTCCCCAGCTTCCTGGGATGTCCCCTCAGGTCATCCAGCATCTCGAAGATGGTACCGGCTTTGTCTGTACTCAAATTCAGGTCTCTTCTAGTTTTGGGCTTCGGCCAATCATTTTCCTTATAAAAATGCCTGGATGACTTATTCTGTCAGGGGTGGCTGGCCTGGGGCCTGTGCACTGTGCATGTTACCAACATTAAGATGTCCTCTGAGCTGTCCTCATTTACAGAAGAAACCGAGGCCTGAGGGGACATGTCATGTCTGGGAAGTGAAAGAGTAGGCCTTTAGCTCTGGAATGATGGACCCCGAGCGCTAGCTCTGATCCCTCTACCTTCCCCCCTTTGCACCCCAGACAAGGAAAGAGGTGGGGGTCAATGATCAACTAGGTCCCCAGCCCAGTGCTGCTGTGGCCAGCACTCAGGCCAGTCCTTCAAGCTCATGGTGAAAGACCTGCAGAGCGTGGACCTTCAGGCTCTCACTCAGGAAAGGCAACACCCCAAATCACTCATGAGAAGCGGTCTTGATGTAAAAACATGAGGTCTTTTATATTCCAAGTGCACTGGGGTCCACAGTCGTGTGCCATGCAGGGGTAGAGAACTGAGGACCCTGAGTACAGAATTGAGACAGCTTTTATAGGATTACAACAAAGCCCGCGCACCTTAAACCAATCATCTCATAGCATCCAGAGCCTGCGCAGTACGGACCAATCAATTTAAACCATCCAAGCCCCTGCTTTATAGACCATTCAGTTTTCTATAGCCCTGGAGGTCTGCACTTACAGGAGTGGGTGGGGTGGGGGTGGCACAGCTCCTAGGTGGGGTGACAAATGGCAGTTAGGATAGGTCACTGGGGCGGGGGTTTCACAAGCATTTTACAAAGTCAGGTAAGTGGCAAGGAGTGTGACCTTTCGCCTATTTACTGGCTGAGGGCAGGGTCTGGAATTTAAGGTATTTAGTATTTTTAAGCTTCTAGCTTCCTGAGGTCAGTGGAGAGTTAGGCTGTATTTTTCCATCCTTACAATGGTCCATATCTAATGTCTGTGCTCACTTGAATGGCAGCTCTCTGCAGAGCGCATCTCCCTGGCTCACACTGAAGCCTGAGTTCTCACAGGCTACCTGTTCAGTATCCGGAAAGCCCAATACTGTGGGGTGAATTTCAGGAATGAAGGGACAGTGACCTTCAGCATATACAAAACTGACTTCAAGTAACCGTGTGTGTTTGGTGGCTTATTCTCATTCCATAGCCACACAAACTCAGAGCAGGCAAGAAGATGCAGTGGTAGAGTTATGATTCCTAAGTATTAGACACAAAGCCAATTGTCTCCCCAGGCCCTGGATTTACTTTGATTTTAGCCATGTGTCAGCTCAGGGCCAGCTGTGGAGACAGAGGGACTGGCGTGATGGTTGCTGACCTACCTGTTTTTGTCTTGTTTTTGTTTTTTTCCCCCATGCTTGTTTCCAGGCTGCGCTGGAAGCACACCTCCTCTCTGAAAGTGGTCAATGAGCCCATCTTAGCGTTCACTCAGGGCAGCCCCGAGCGGGATGCGCTCCAGAAGGTAACAGGGTGGGGTCTCCCCAGGGTATGTGGGGCATGGGACAGAGAGAGACAAGAAGCTTCCATCCACATTCTATCCCTCTCCCCAGGCTCTGAGGGACCTGAAGGGCCAGACAGAAGCCATCCCCTGTGTTGTCGGGGACGAGGAGGTGTGGACTTCGGATGTGCAGTACCAGCTGTCGGTAGGTCTGGTAGGAGCAGGAGCTGTGGTCTCTGCCTGTAAAGGTCATTGTCCCCTCCCAAGTCTTGAATTCTTTGGATGCCTAAAACTTCTAGAACAAAGGGTACATGCCCCGCCCAAACTGAGTCATGTCCACAGTGAGGAGACTGGGAAGAGTGTGTGTCCCTGGTGGCTTCTTCTCTAGGGACGGAGAGCTGGGTTCAGTCCTGAGGAAACCAGTCTGGCATGGGGTGGGAGTGAAGGGCTGGCCTTTTGGCCAATGAGTCCATATAGGTAGAACTCCAAGAGCATTGTGTATTGGATCCACTGTGAAAGAATTAACCCGCGTGCTCCCATTAGCTTTGTGACTCAGCACAGGGTACCCTGTGGGTCAGAGGACAGACAACTCTGTGGGGACCATTCTCTTCTTGCACCCTCATGTGGGTTCTGGGGACTGAACTCAGATCACTAAGCCCGAGTGGCAAGCGCCTCTGCCCACCGAGCTGGCTTGGATTTTATGAGACAGGGTTTCTCTGTGTAGCTTTGTAGACCAGGTTGGCCTTGAACTCACGTAGATCCGCCTGCCTCTGCCTCCCAAGTGCTGGGATTGAAGGAAGAACTTTAAACAGAGGCCGGTGTGCATCTCCTAGGCATGGAGAGCCGGGTGGAGGAGGAGGGAGCTGCATGGCCTTGTGCCATAGGGAGTCAGACATGTCTGACTGAACACAGACTGCTCTGTGGTCTTGTCCTTACTTGTGAACCCTTACGCTCCCCGCCCTTTCTTCCAGCCCTTTAACCATGGACACAAGGTGGCCAAGTTCTGTTATGCGGACAAGGTGAGTCCCCGGTGACCATGGCCGCCCTGCCAGTGTGGGTCTACTCCACTACTTCTTTCCCTGACTCTGGGGAGTCTTTGGGCAGAGTCCGCAACAGAACCAGTCATGTACAGGTTAACTCAAGCCCAGCTCTAGCTCAGAGTGGGAATAGCAGCAGGCATTCCCACTAACATGCCCGCCGCTTCCAGCAGACCTGGGGAGGGAGAGGGTAGACTCTGTAAGACTGTCAGGACAGTCAGAGACATAGGTGAAGAGCCAGGCAGAGAGTGAGAGGAAGGGCGGAGAGTGGGACAGGCTGATGGCTGGTGCCACATGGGAACCAGGGTCAGTGGGGTCTGGGGTCACCTGCGGCTAGCACCACTGTGGTTCTGACGGCAAGGCTGGAGCCCCACGGGTCCCAAGGATGTGGCTGGCACCTCCTTAGACCAAGGGAGAAGGTTGTGCAGGGACTTCGTTTTGTAGCAGCCGATAAACCTGGCAGGAGCCAAAGACCTCAGAATGACAGCATGGCAGGCGGTCTCTAGCAGTGTGGACAGGACTATGGGGGGAGGGGCTCTGCTGGTAGCTAGCTTCCCTCTGGTTCCTCCTCCATGCCCTGGGGCCCTTTCTGCTGTGTAAGGCAGAGAAAGCCTTTTACCTCTGTCTCTCCTCTCCCTAGGCCTTACTCAACAAAGCCATTGAAGCTGCCTTGGCTGCCAGGAAGGAGTGGGACCTGAAGCCCGTGGCAGACCGGGCCCAGATCTTTCTGAAGGCAGCAGATATGCTTAGCGGGCCACGAAGGGCTGAGGTCCTTGCCAAGACCATGGTAGGACAGGTGAGGCTGTCTTACTCTATTCCTGTCACTAGGCGTTAGCTAGCTGAAGAACCTCTGTGTGCCAGGAGCTGTTGGAGACTTGGAGATGTTCCCTAGAAACATCCCTCGGAGTCGGGTTATAACTAACAGAGGTTGCCACACTAGGTGGATGGTGCTGAGCCCATGCGTTCTGCCATGTGGGCCCATGACCTCCCCTTTGTCCCTGTCCCCCTACTCTGGGCCAAGCTCTTGTCATTTCAGGACCATGGTTGCCCTGCTAGGAGTGGCTAGCCTTCGGACATTGCCAACTACAAATGTGTCAGGCTGTATGCACAGCCATCCTGGGACACACGGGGCTCACAAACTGCAAGTTAGACCCTGCTTCCAGTCTCCCTGCAGCCCTCAGAGGGAGCTTTTAAACATCCACATAGTTACTCCTGACTCAGTGGCATCCGGGGTCTCTCTCCCAGGCTCTCATCCCATACCTGGGGCCCTCTCCTCATCCTCTGTCTGGCTCCCCAGTCACTCTTCCCTTCCTTGCCCGGGTGTTCTGCCCACCATGGAGTTTGGACTCAGCAGGAGTCTGTGGGAAGCCTGGGCCTCCTCTCGCTCTGCCGAGTGTCCCCTGCCTAGAACGGATTCTGACCATGTGGTCCGGCTCCATCCTGCCCTCTCTGAGGCTTCCTGGCATTCTGGGCCCAGGAGGCTCAGGAGTGTTTTGTTCCTTGCCAGTTACAGTTACCACTCAGGTAGTGGCCGGGCGTTATGTGTATCTATTTACTGCCCACGAGAGATATGTCTTGCTTGATCTTCGTCTGTAAGTTGTCAGAGGAGTCTCCTGAGAATTTGAGAAATGGGCTTTTCCAGTGAGCAGTGCACTGCACTGAGGAAGGAGCCAGGGAGAGGCACAGTTTGACATCCTCAAGAGTCCCCTTAACAAAGCCAAAACCCCCATCCTACACCTGCTCTCCTGTCTCCGTGGTGAGGGCGCCCTCTGCTGCATGGAGGTGGGATGATAGCGCCCCGCTTTTTCAGTGTTCTTGTGATATGAGGGAAATTGTCAGGCAGGTAGATGTGTGGGCTGTCACACTGGGGTCTCTTTTTATTTGGCTTGAGGTCCAAGGGATTCTGGGTAGCACTCTGCAGGTCTTACCCTTCTGGACTCCACACACTAGTGGACTGCCGGAATTATGAGCTGTGTAGCCCTGCAAGATGGTCAGTGGATGCTTTTCCGGTCCGGTGTGCATTCGTCTGTCTAATGGAGGAGGTTCAGATGCCTGAGAATCAGGTCCTTTTCCTCCCCAGTCCTGGGGCCAGGCCTGGTCAGCCCACTGAAGGTTTTTGTTCCCTTCTGGGAGCTGGCTCTGGCCTGCCTGCTGTCATTGAACCTGCGCCACCCTCCTAACAGGGAAAGACGGTGATCCAAGCGGAGATCGATGCTGCCGCAGAGCTCATTGACTTCTTTCGGTTCAATGCCAAGTTCGCCACGGAGCTGGAGGGGGAACAGCCCATCAGCGTGCCACCCAGCACCAACCACGTGGTGTACCGGGGGCTGGAGGTACCGCAGGGCAGGCAGTGGGTCACGGGGGCTGCTGGGAGCCGTGAGCTCGGCCTCACCATTTCCCTCTTCCTCAGGGCTTTGTGGCAGCTATCTCACCCTTCAACTTCACCGCAATCGGGGGCAACCTGGCGGGTGCACCGGCCTTAATGGTGAGAAGCTGGGGATAAGGGCAGTTAGTCATGCCCTAGATCTCAAGCAAACTGCCCTCAGTCATGGGAGAGGTGCAGGGGCTGTGGATAAGCTCTGGGTTCCAGCGTAGCCTTGTCCTTTTGTGGGAAGACCTGGGTAGACCCCAAGCTCAGAGGCACGGTTTCATCGTCTGTCAAACAGGAGCAATGACGTGTGTGTGGCAGGGGGCAGGCCATCAGGTTTCAAAGATCCAGTGAGATGTGCTAGACACCAGACAGGTCCAGGCGCGAGTGAGCCACGGGTCCCACGGCTGCTGACGGTGGTGGTGACCTGGAGTGCTCGCACATGTGACAGCCATTGACGCTGTGCTGATGATGTCATTTAACTAACTAAAAAGGCAATGAGAAAAGTGGTTGCCCCTGTGCCTCTTTGCTAGGTGGCACCTGAGATATATAGTAGGGACTTGCTTGTCATGGCTAGCAAACAATGGAACAGATAGGAATTTGTTGAGGGTAGGTGTCTGTCCCTGTAGAGCTCCCACAGATATGGGGGATACAGGCCAATCCTCAACCGGCTGGGCAGGCAGAGGGCTGGTGCTGACCCAGCAGCCTGGACCTCAGGCAACACATGTGTGCGTGCACACGACAGCCTCTTGCATCATCACGTGGGTCCTCCTGGTACCTATGATGATATACATGCTCTGACCCAGCACACGTGCAGAATGTCTGTAGGTGCCTGTCCAGCCACACCCAGGAGTGGCCCAGAACACTGAGAACAGCCCTAGCCTGGAGTGAGGGCAGGACTCAGCCTAGGCTTGCAGGGAAACGGAGCCCAGGCTAGAGCCAGAGGCGAAGCCTGGGGCCTCCGTGGCAGGGTCCTCTGGAGACGGTGCAGATATTATGTGAGCGGGCCTAGGTGGGGGACACGGGGTGTAGTGGTTCCAGGTAGGGGTGACCATGCTGTCAGGTACAGTGGGGTGCATGGTTGATATGGTTGGTATCCTACCACCTTGTGAGTCACGTTCACACCTTTTTGGCAGGGCAATGTGGTCCTGTGGAAGCCCAGTGATACTGCCATGCTGGCTAGCTATGCTGTCTACCGCATTCTCCGGGAGGCCGGCTTGCCACCCAACATAATCCAGTTTGTGCCAGCTGATGGGCCAACATTCGGGGACACAGTCACCAGCTCAGAGCACCTTTGTGGCATCAACTTCACAGGCAGTGTGCCGTAAGTCCCTGGAGGGGGCAGGGGAACGGTTAGGGTTGGGGAACGGTTAGCTGCTGTCTGGAGCTGTGTGAGCCCAGAGGTCACGCACTGATGTTACCCATTTTCTCTCTGTGTGACCAGCCTGTCTCAGTTCAGGTTTTTTATACCTGTCAAATGAGAGTGGGTTCCTATCTTTTTCTTTTCTTTCTTTCCTTTTTTTTTGTTTTGTTTTGTTTTTGTTTGTTTTGTTTTGTTTCAAAATAGGGTTTCTTTGTGTAACAGTCCCAGTTGTCATGGAACTCGCTCTGTAGAGCAGGCTGGCATGGAACTCACTGAGATCCGCCTGCCTCTTCCTCCCAAGTCCTAGGACTAAAGGCATGCACCACCACTGCCTGGAGGTGGTTCCTGCCTGGCTGAGTCTTTGAAAGGATGGGGAGGGAGAGCACTGAGTGGGCTGGAAACACCGCCTGTGGCTGATAGCGGCCTTCTACCACAGAGAGCATGTACAGGAGGGTGAGCTGGAAACGGGAGCTATTGGGCCTGCTTCTTGGAGAAGGCATAGGGGGAAAGATTTGCTAGGTAGAGGTGAGGAGGTGGGACAGGGTTATAGGAAGGGGAAGGACACCGAGGGGGCCTGCAGGCTGATGTCTGTGTCCTTTGGACCCGGAGGGTGGAGTTGGGGGAGGGCTGGACAGTCGGCACCATTGTGCTCACTGACTCTGCAGGTGTCTGCCCACCCCTGCAGCACAGAGTTCTGTGCCATGGCTGGACATACGTCAACAGTGAGATCCCCTGCTCTGACTCCCTTGGTCCCACTTCTCAGGTTTAACCAGTGGCTCCTAGGAGCCTTTTGAATCTGCAGAAGTGTCTGGGCTGCATGTTGAAGGTGGCAGGAGACACAGAAGGTCCTAGGGAATGGTGTGAGCACAGTTCTGCTTCAGGCTGGGGCCCATTGGACCTGGGAGTGACTGGCTTTGTGGGATTCCTAATAGCTATGGCCTGGCCATGTCTAATTGGGACTGTTTCTTGTTTTGTTTTGTTTTTGTTTTAAATTCATATTGTGTGTGCTCTGATTCCCCCTGGGCCTGTGTGTCTTATGGTACCATTAGCTGGAGCTGGACAACACTTTGTAGGTCCCCAAGTCCCACCCCAGGCCACGAGTCTGCCCATTGCTGGCCCTCCTGGCCCTTGCAACTGTGCTCCATCCTAGGACCTGGCTAGAGCTGCCCCAGAAGCCTGCTCAGGAGGTTGTGGGTCCCAGGGGTTGAGATAATGGCCACAGACCAGGCAGGGATGACAAGACCTGGGGCAGAACATCATGGTGAGCATGCTGGCAGTGTGCAGGGCTGGGTCTAAGACCCTCTGGCCTTTGCAGAGAGGGCGTTGTTGACCAGGATAGACCCTGTCAGTACGGGCATGGGGGAAGTTGAGTCGTGTGTAGTCATTGACCGAGCAGCCTTCTGGGCTTCTGGGTAGAGGTGACTGGGACAGTTTAGGGTCCCATTTTGTATCTGCAGCTCTTCCTGTAGGGCACCTACAGTGGCTTCCCTGAACCCTCCCGGCCCGGATTGCTGGGGTGGGTGGCAGCTTAAGGACTGCTGCGGAGGCCTTTTCCCCAGAGGCTTGCTCCTCTAGTGCTTAGGTCTCTGCCTGTTAGCAGGCGGAGTGGGCCTGGCCCCCGTTTGCCACGCTCTGGCAAGCTGCTAGGCCGAAGGTAGGAAAGTCATAAATTACCGTTAGCTACTGTGGCTGGGTGATTAGCATTTTTATTGTTTTGTGGTGTGGAGGTTGGTCACAGTGAAGCCGGGGGAGGAGGTGGTGTCTCTGGGGCGGCAGGTCAGGGCACAACCTGAGTTGTTGGTTTGGCCCCTCAGGCCAGGAACTGGGCCAGGGTGACCCAGGTGATGCATTCCTTGCCAGGCACTGCAGTGTGCCCAGCATGACCCTAATGTTCCGACTCACACTGGAATCCATACACGTGGAAGGTTCTTGTTACTAGGTAAGGTACAGAGTTGGAGGCTCAGAGACATTAAGTCAGGGGCCCAACATCACATAGCCCTGTGTCAGAGCTAGAACCAGCACTGCCTGGTTTTGCATCTGGGCCTTCTTTGTGCCACCTTGTCCCCCAAGCCTCATCACAGCTGCCACCACCCACTTAGTTCCTTCCAGCCCCCAGCACTCCTTCCGGGTCTTTTAACCCCTTACTAGCAAGGCTTCTTGACACCCTACTCTTTGGTTCTAGCACCTTCAAACACCTTTGGAAGCAGGTGGCCCAGAATTTGGACCGTTTCCGTACCTTCCCACGCCTGACTGGAGGTAAACCCCGCCCCACACATGCTTCCAGGGACCCTCTTCCTGGGCCATAGTGAGAGAGCAGCATTGTGCTAGAGTGTGGTGGCCAGGATTCTCTTGGGTTTCTGGGAGCCAGTATTGGAGACTTCTCTACCTGCCTCTGCAGTGTCCCCCCACCCCTACCCCTAGGGGCATGTGTAACATGCCCGTATGTGGGGCTGAGAGCTTTTAGGCTTGTGGTGGTCGTCATTAGCACACGTGGCTGGGGGATGCTGTGGTGGATGGCACAGGTCTGAGCAGGGAAGGATGGAGCCTGGTGTGTGTGTGTGTGTGTGTGTGTGTGTGTGTGTGTGTGTGTGTGTGTAGGAGGAAACTGAGTGGGCAGCAGAGCTGCCTCTCATTGACAGTGATAACTTCTGAGAAGCCGTTCTGTGGTCACAGAAACTTGACACACGCAGGAAACAAAGCCGGTGGTGTCTTCTCAGCCCTTAGTACTCCATTCGTATACTGGGAGAGCATAACGGCTATGCAGCATTTCCCAAAATCACCGGGCCACAGAACCCCATTTTGCAAAGTCCCTATGGACCAAGAGTTTCATAGAGCACACTTTGGGGAAGTGCTGAGACCGCAAGGGACGTTCTGTCCGGGGCACACTTGTCAGGCTGGTGGCTTAACCCTACTGTGTCGTGGTGCCCATGGGGAGGCCCTTTCAGAGCTGGCCGTGTGTGCCCGGGTTGGCTGTAGCATTTGAGTTTCCCAGCCCTCATGTCCCGTCCTTGTCTTTGTGAGATGAAAGGTGGACCCTGCAGGGGAGGGTGTGGGTGGCCCTTCCTTCTCAGGGCCATGGCTCAACCTGGAGCCAATGGCTTCATCACGGCCTCATTTTGCTCACCTTTGAGGTGGGGGCAGTGTGTGACCATGGGGTAGGTCCTTGAGACACAGGGAGACAGCTCAGGGTGCTTCCTCCAGCACCTGGCAGGTGGTGTGTGCTTTTGGCTGCTGTTATATGTTGTTACTGAGCAGGTAAACTGAGGCTGGAAGGTGCTGTGGCAGTCTGAGGGCTTCCCTGGGAGGTTTCAGGAGAGCCTGGGTGGGCTCTTGGGAACTTGGCTTGCTGTACTTCCGCCTCCTGCCACGCTGATCACTTGGTTCGCTCATCCGTGACTGGGAGTGCTTGCCGATGCCCTCTGCTCCCCTGCTCCCTTCCCAGCCTCACTTCACCTTCTGGGGAGTGGGCCAGGGCCTGGCTGGTGGCTCCCCTTGCAACTCTCTGTTTTAACTTTTTTTTTCTCTCGTGGCCTGCTGCTGAATGTGGGGCTGTGGATTGGTGTGGGTGGTGGCTTGGGCTGCAGCCCACAACCTCCATTCAGGTCCACACCCTGTGCTCCAGAGTGTGGCGGGAAGAATTTCCATTTCGTGCACAACTCAGCCGACGTGGACAGCGTAGTGAGTGGGACGGTGCGCTCGGCCTTCGAATATGGTGGTCAGAAGTGCTCAGCCTGCTCGCGCCTCTACGTGCCACAGTCTCTGTGGCCACAGATCAAAGGGCGACTTCTGGAGGAGCACAGCAGGATCAAAGTGGGCGATGTGAGTGGTGCCTCTCCTGCGCCCAGCAGGTGGCTGATGGGATTGGCTGCAGCTCTCTCCAGCTCTTTGAGTGCCCCATCCTTCCCTGGGGCCCTCTCTGCCTCTTTGAGGCAGGGTCCTTTCCTTGGGGCTCTGTGCATGTGGGGCGGGCTATGGGGAAGGGACTGCCTTTGTCTCTGGCCTGCAGTGTCTCATCTCCCCCTCCCTTGTCCCCAGCCTGCAGAGGACTTTGGGACCTTCTTCTCTGCAGTGATTGATGCCAAGGTAGGGTGTGGATACAGCACATTGTGGGGGAAGGGTGCTGGGCACAGATCCAGGACAGAGAGGGCAGACTAGTCAGTGTGGCTTGTGACCAGACATATGCCTTCCTGGCCTTGAAGAGGACAGGCTCACCCATAGCTGGAAATTGTTCTTGTCTGCGCACCCTTGAGCCAGGCTCAGCAAACCCCTAAAGCATATATGTGTGCACATACTCGTGTACACATACAGGCAGGCCCACATATGTGTACTTGATATCACGGCTCTGGAACCGTAGTATAAATGGCCATGAAAACACATCTCTGTAGCCACATGCGCATATCATGTCTTTTAATGTAAACACATAGCTATACATGTACCTTTCTGTATGTTTATCTCAGTGTGTTTATATGTAAGGATACCTGTAGTTTTACCATACATGAGCATGTGCACACACTATGTAACACTCTTATACACATACACACAAATACCACATACATAGCATACACATGTACCATATACGTAACACAGACATACATACCACGCATATGTAGTTACACACACACACACACACACACATACTACACATACACTCAGGCACAGACACATACTACATACACACATATATACCACAAGCAGATGCTGTTTGTGTCCCTGCTGTGGCTTAGCCAGGCCTTGCTCTACCTTCAGTGCCCCTAACCCTGAACCCCTTTCCAGAACTCAGGCCCTTTAGGCAGAGGTATTTTAGGGTGAGTGTGGGGGACAGCTCTCTTTGACACCCTGCTGCTCACCTGCCTTAGGCCTTTGCCCGCATCAAGAAGTGGCTGGAGCATGCGCGTTCCTCGCCCAGCCTCAGTGTCCTGGCAGGGGGCCAGTGCAACGAGTCGGTGGGTTACTATGTGGAGCCATGTATTATTGAGACCAAGGACCCACAGGAGCCCATCATGAAGGAGGTGATCGCAGTGGGCTGTCCTCGGGCACAACCGCATGCTCGTTCTAACGCTGTCTGGGTTCATGGGTGAGAGGTGTGGGGCGGGGTGGCCTGGCAGGAATGGCTCGCAGCTGGAGTGTGGATAGACCTGGGTCTTGATCTCCGCAGCTCAGGCCTGTCCAAGACCCTGTCCTTGTGGCTGTCTTGGCGCTGGCTGTGGCCTGGTGCTCTGGTGCCACTGTGGGATTATGGCAGCTGTGGGCTCCCTGGCTCACTCTCTTGCTGTGGTGATGCCTGAGATGGGGTGGCAGTACAGGACCAGGAAAGCCCCGTCCCCTTGCCGGGAGAGGGTCCCGAGGAGGGAGGGGCTTTAGCACTTGCTGTTGAGTGAGCCTCCTGCTCCTCAGGGCCCCTGGCTGCTTTGCTGTCCAGGTGAGAGCATGGCAGGGAGGCTCAAAAGTTCTGGATCTTTTGCCAAATGGTCAGGAAACCAGGCACGCAGAGACCAGGTGGAACCTGGAAGAAACCACCCATCTCTGTCCGTGCTCTGGGGTGTTGTGTGGTCTGAGGCCCGGGATGGTGGAGAGGATGGCCAGATGGGGACATGGGAGTGACTAGCCTCTCTCTGTCTCCCAGGAGATCTTTGGTCCTGTGCTGACAGTGTATGTGTACCCAGATGACAAGTACAGAGAGACGCTGCAGCTGGTCGACAGCACCACCAGCTATGGCCTCACGGGGGCAGTGTTCGCTCAGGATAAGTGAGTGGCCTCAGCCCCGAGAGCAGTGCTGCTCCTGCTGCGCCAGCTCAGTGCCATCCCCTCTCCTAGAGGACACAGTTGCTGCTAACCCCTCCTCTGCTTTCCCCCTCCCCTCTCCTGCAGTCCTCTCAGTTTGGAGCTGCAGTCAGGCGGCCCTACACAGGGCACACAGCAGGCTGGCTTGTTAGGAACCAGATATCTGGAGTCCCGCGTGACCACTGTCTAAATCTCTAGGGACGATCTGTTGGGGCCCCACTCCACGCCGCAGTGGAGGCAGATCTAAGCTGGGTCCTGCCACCCTGACCTTGACTCTTTGCGTTTTCTTCCTCCTTGGCCCTGTAAGCCACTGTGCCTACCTCAGAGAGGAGTAGTGGGATTGAAGCCCAGGGGAAGCATGCGGTCTGGGTGTTAGCTAAGTTTCTGTGAAATGGCCGGGTTGGACTGGGACCCCGCCCCCATTACCCCCATAGCTGAGGCCTGTGCTCTTCATCTAGGCCTCCCAGAGCCCACAGGAGGTGGGTGAACTTATCCTGTTCTCTGGGGAGGAGCTGAGCCTTGGAGACTAACTTGCCCAGGTCCCACTCTAGCGGCTGGCCAGTGTCCTGTTCCTACCATGGCTGCTTGCTTAGCTGGGAAGCCGGTGTGGGCTGCTTGAGGGATTGGAGGGTAGCCCGGGGCTGGCAGCCCCTCTGATCACTGTCCTGTCTCCCAGGGCAATTGTCCAGGAGGCCACGAGGATGCTGAGGAATGCTGCTGGCAACTTCTATATCAATGACAAGTCTACTGGGTCCGTGGTGGGCCAGCAGCCTTTCGGGGGTGCCCGGGCCTCTGGTGAGTGGGAGGCGAGTCATGGTCAGAGACCATAGGTCATTACCTCAAGACTGTGAATAGGAAGAGAAGAGCCCACAAAGTCTCTTTGGCAGCTTCCAAAGCTAGGGGGGCCCATTCTTCTATTGTACAGGGGCGGAGACGAGGCATTGGGGGGCTGTGAATGTTAGCTTCAATGCCCACACTTCTCCCTCCAGGCTCAGGATCACCTGACTTTGTTGCTCTCTAGGCCATAGATGGGAAGAAGTTATGCATGGGCAATGAATTGCCAGGGGCTACGACCTCCTAGTGGCAGCCAGGGCCAGACACATGTTAATATCTGTCCCTGTGTGTGTGCGTGTGAGACAGAGAGAGAGAGAGAGAGACTAAAACACCCAAGGCCTTTCTTTCTTCTAGGTCTTTGATATATGTGGCATAATTGTTACCCATATTCACCCTATGGTGTGGAATGTTGTACCTCAGAATTTGTTCCTGACTTAACTCAGTGTACTCTCCCCCAAATTCCCAGCTTCTAGTAACATCCTCATTGCTAGCCTCTGTGAGATCAGCTCTTTCGGGTCCCATGAGAGCAAGAACATAACCGTTCTCGTCCTTCTGAGCCTGGTTTATTTCATACAACATAATGTTTACTAGTTCCCTTTTTGTGACTAATACTCCACAATGTGTAGGCATTTTTCTCAACCACCGGTCTGTCAATGGCCCTTTGGTTGTTCCCTTTTCTAGGCAGCTGTGAATAGAGAAGAAATGAACATTAGTGCGCAGATGTCTCTTCAACATGCTGGTTTAATTCCCTTTTATTCTAAATGCCCAGGAGGGGGTGAATTCACAGGGTTTCTCTGTATAGTCCTGGCTGTCCTGGAACTTGCTCTGTAGACCAGGCTGGCTTCAACTCACAGAGATCCTCCTGCCTCTGCCTCCTGAGAGCTGGGATTAGAGGTGTGTGCCACCACCCGCCTGATTGTTGCAGGTTTTTGTTTTGTCTTTTGACACAGGGTTTCTCTATGTAGCTTTGGAGCCTGTCCTGGAACTCACTTTGTAGACCAGGCTGGCCTCGAACTCACAGAGATCTGCCTGCCTCTGCCTCCAACTGCTGCAATTAAAGGCATGCCTCACCACTACCTGGCTCTCTCTCTCTGTCTCTGTCTCTGTCTCTCTCTCTCTCTCTCTCTCTCTGGTTCTTGTAGTTTTAAAAGAGCAATTTCTAAAGCAAATTTCTCATCATTCTGTACTAACTTACCTTCCCATGTGCAAGGCTTACTTTTTCCCCCACCTCCTACTCAGCATGTGTGTGCTGTGTGTGTGTGTGTGTGTGTGTGTGTGTGTGTGTGTGTGTGTGTGTGTGTGTGTGTGCTACATGTGTGATTAGTTTCTTTGTTGACTTCCTTTCTGGATGATCTGCCCTTTGCTGGAAGTGGAGTACTTACAGTTTCTGTCATTGTATTGGACTCTCCCTCTCCCTCTGTGTCTATTAATATTTGCTTTCTATGTTTCAGTGTCCTGATATTGACTGCTTATGTATTTACAGCTGATGTTCTCTGTCCCTGACTTTCTCATTTATAACCCCTGTCCCCAACTCCCTCTCACCTCCCTCTCCAGTTGTAGTTTAGTGTCTTCTTTATTTGCTGTGAGATACTCCTGTATCTTTGAGATCCATTTATATCTTCCTGTGTCCTCAGGGGTGAAGTGAGTTTCTTGTAAACCACATATAATTGGGTCTTGTTTATTTATTTACTTAAAAATAAACTTTTTTGGCTAGTTAGATGGCACATGCCTTTAATGCCAGCTCTTGTAAGGCAAAGGCAGGTGGATCTCTGTGAATTCAAGGCTATCCTGATCTATATAGAGAGTTTCAGGCCAGCCAAGGCTGCATAGTGAAACCCTGTCTCAAAAAAGTTTGGCCTGAAATGTGCTATGTAGGCCAGGCTGGTCTCGAACTCACATAGATCCACCTGCCTCTGCCTCCCAAGTGCTGAGATTAAAGATGTGCACCACCACACCTGGCCCAGCATATTTTTTAAAGGTAACTAAAAGAATTTTATGTATGTATATGAGTAACAGGCCACACATGTGTGTAGGTACATAGAGAATCCAGGTGATTATACCAGAACCCCAGGGGCTGGAGTCCCTGGAGATTGTGAACTGCTTTGTGTAGGTGCTGAACTGAACCCTGGTCCTCTAGAAGACCAGCAAGGGCTCTCTCTCTCTCCAGCCTGGGTCTTGTTTTTTTAATCCTTTCACTCACTGTGACTTTTAGTTGCAGAATTTAACCCATTTACATTTAGGATGATGACTGATAGATAAGGCTTACTTAATTCTTTCTTCCTCTCTTACCAACTTCCTTTATAGTCAAATGATTCGCTCAAGTATTGCGTTTTATTTCCTCTCTTGGACTGTCCATCCGCCCTTCATTTCTAAAGAGCAGCTTGGCTGGGCAGTGTTGTTTTTGGTTGGTGTTGTCTCTTTGGTACTGTGAGCCTCATCTTCTGGCTATGCACACTTGGGCCTGATATGTTCAGCAAGCTCTGAGGCAAAAAATGAGTGTGTTTAGTTTCCACTTCTCTAAGCCTCTCAGCTGGATGCGTTATAGAAGGAGCCACCATTCACTCCTGCACTGCCCCATTCTCCCTGCCAGCCCCCATACCCCAACCTGCCAAGAACCATTGTGCATCCTTTCTTCCACAGGAACCAATGACAAAGCAGGAGGCCCTCACTACATCCTGCGCTGGACATCGCCCCAGGTCATCAAGGAAACTCATCAGCCCCTGGGGGACTGGCGATACTCCTACATGCAGTGAGCTCTGCTCAGCACCTGTGCCATCCACCTGTCTGTCCATCCAGATGACTGACATCCGTGCACTGACCCCCGGCTCCCGACCAGCTCCTCCTGGACTCCTTACAGCTTGAGCTTGACCCTGTCCCAGTCATTGGGCTATATCCTGACCCTTCCTTATTTGGTGTCAGGTACCCAAGCTTTGGCTTTGGGTCATCCTGGGAAGGGAGAGCCAATTTACCCAGAAATCTCATCTGCTATGGAACACCCTGGTGCCTGGCAAGTTCTTCACCTATCTGCTTCACTCTCCTCATCCCAGGCCCAGCGGCTCAGAGATTCTCAGAAGAAAAAGACACTCGGGACCCTGTGGGGAAAGGAGACAGCTCTGGTGCCCTGCAGGCTCATCACTCAGACTCCTGATCTTGGCCTTGACTCCTGCACATACCCAGTGAGATAGGACCTCAGTCAGGCTACAGGGGTACTGGCTGGCTTTGCCCTCAGTCTGCTAGATCCTCCTGCAGGCACTTGTGCCTAGCCATATGCCTTAGACCCATGTGCCTTCCTCTAGAATGCCTGGGTGTCCCTGAGCCTTCGTCTCTCTTTGCCATCTCCTGGGAGTGGTTGTCTGGAAAACCTGGAGGTAGGCCTCCATTTCATACTCTTGACAGAGTGGCCAGCCCAATGGTGGCCAGAGTGAGTTCCTACTTGGGTCCTGGATGATGGAATGTTGTTTTCAGTAGTTTGAGAGTGGGCAGAGTTCCCCTTCAAGGACATTTGTCAGTGGCCACCCAGGTCACCATCCATCATCCATACTCAAGGGCAGGTACCTGAGCACTGCTTCCGGTCTGTTGTTTTCCAGGGAGCAGGGCTGGGCTGTAAGTGTCTCAACTCTGCTGGTTCTGTATGGTGAGGGGTGGGGCACACTTACTGCCACCCAAGAAAATGCCAGCTGCCAAATCAAAGTTGTGGTTGTGGCGGGAGATGAGAGGATGGCTAGCTTCTCTTTCCAAATGTAACGTATTGCCAGCATCTTGTCATATGGTGCAGTTGGATGCCCTTGGTGGGATGAGGGGTTTCTGAGGCTGGGGAGTCCCTGGAGGTAGTAGTGACTCTGGACCCTGATGGTTGGGCTAGACCTTGGCTCTCTGTCTCCTACCAAGGTGCTCACCAAAAATTATGCAAATTCCCCAACCTTCCATCCCTCCAGCTCTAAATGTCTGTGATTCCCTCATGTACACAAAGGATCAAGTGAGCTAGTCCATGTGGATTCCAGACAGCGTTAAGACAAGCTATCAGAAATGTCACCTGTTTACCCCGTTATACCACTGTCACTGTGTACTGCTGTGGTTTATCTTATGTGTCAATTTTGCTGGGCCATAGTATAGTGCCCAGAGACCTGGTCAACCACTGAGGAAGTTTCTGTGAATGTGTCCTTTGGAGAAGACTTAAGATTTAAATAAGTAGGCTTTTACATTTTTATTATGTGTGTTTGTGTGTTTGTATGTACACATGTGTGTACTGGTGCCCACAGAGGCCAGAAGGGGAGGATTAAAACAGCTGGGAATGGTGTTATAGACATTTGTGAGCTGTGCTGCGTGGGTATTCAGTTCCAAACTCTGGGTGTCTGATAGGGCACTGAGCACTCTAACCAATGGGCCGTTCTTCCAGCCCCAACGGGTTTGTTTTGAGACATGGTCTTGCTCTATAACCCAGAGTAATCAAATCCAGTTGGCTCAGCCTCCCAAGTGCTGGATTTACAGGTGTGTATCTCCATGCCTGGCTTAGGAAACACGGCAGACTTTCCATAGTGTGAATAGGCCTGGACTGATAAGTTGAATGTTAGAACAATGGATGAGCTTGCCCAGACGAAATTTGCCAGCAGAACTACCCTCTGGGGACAGTTCTTCCCTGGCCTTCTTACCCTCCCTCCATCTGTCCCCTCATTCCCACCTTCCTTGGCAAATGCATATGACAAGGACTCTGTGTATCTCTGTACTCTCAACTCCACCAGCAGGTACAGCCTTACTTCCTTTTTACAGATGGGGAAACTGAGGCAGAGCTGACATAGTACTTCCCAGCAGTCTTAGGATTTTCTATTGCTGTGAAGAGATGCCATGACCACAGAAACTCTCCCAAAGATAAATTTAATTGTGGTGGCTCGCTTACAGTTTCAGAGGTTCCGTCCATTATCATGGTGGGACATGGGAGAGTCCTATATCTTACAGGCGACAAGAAATGGTCTGTCTGTAGCACGAGTTCTAATTGGTCTTAGTAATTAAAACCTAGAGTCAGATGTCGGGGTATATGCTGAAAGATCAGAGAAGTAAAGGAGCCAGCCACTAGAGAGACTTCTCACCCCTACTCAATCCTCAGACTGAATGCAATGATCTCCTGTCTCCTCTCACTTTATCATCTTCCTCTCTCTGCCCGACTATATCACTCCCGTCTCCACCTCCCTAGTGCTGGGATTAAAGGTGTGTGGCACGATTGCCTGGCATCTATGGCTAGCTGTGCACTCTGATGTTTAGGCAAGCTTTATGTGTTAGATCACAATCACCACATCTGTCTCACAGAACGATACCTTGAGCATATATGAGACCTCAGCCCACCCCACAGTGACACTTCCTCCAACAAAGCCGTATCTCCAAGTAGCGCCACTCCCTTTGGGGGCCATTTTCTTTTCAAACCCCCACACCAGGAGAGTGGTATTGCTAGATGTGAACCCAGATATTCTCTACTGTACGCCTATGTCCACACCTTGTGGTGTGCCTTCTTGGGGAGACCTGTTCCACTAGTCCTCAGAGCAGCTACTGAGTCCTGCTGGAAGGAGCCAGTGAGGGGTCCAACCCACGTACAAAGCTCTGGGTTCAAGCTAATTGGCCACAGTAGCTCCCTTCTAGGCGGTAGTAACATGGGTGCCCTGGCTGTGACTCACAGAAGGGGAAGGTGGCGCTTACAGCTGTTTGTTTTTGAATGAATGCTGCCAGTTACTGAAGGGGGTGTCGAGGAGCTTCTACGGTACTGAAGATGAACCCTGGACTCTGGCACACGATGGCAAGCACTCTACCACTGAGCTCAAACCCAGCCCTCTGGAAGCTCCTCTCCCGGTGGCCATGCCAGACCACTGTTTGGTCTCTGTGATAGGGCCAGTGAAGGTCATGGGTGTCGGGATAGGAGAAGGCAGACGCAAACCCTAGTCTGAGTGCCTGTAGTTCATGTTCTTGGCAGTCTTCTCCATGAGGTCACTGGCGTCTGGGCTCCTCTGTCACTGTCACTAAATGACCCTCCCATGATGTCTCCTTTATAGCTGGGGGAGAAGGGGACTCAAAGCCATCATTGCTCCCTTAGGTTTGGGGGCTGCTGATGCTCCCTGTTTGGGTTCCTGAGGCTTTTTTTTTTGGCTTGGTCATCACTGTCAGTCCCCATGTCTGCGGTCACCCACAGAACACCTTCATTTCCCTGCCGTGACCAGGGCCCCAGCCGCAGCCCTGAGCCAGAACAGGGCCCATTTGACTGTGGCCGGATGTCCCTGCTGCCACTGCTGCACACAGTGTCACTCAAGCATATGTTCTAAGGAAATGAGGGACCATCTGCTACCTCCTGGACACAGTGCCCCGGAGCTTCAGCAGGATCGGGCAGAGGAAATGGCCAGGGGACACACCTGCTCCCTTCACCCGGTCCTGTCTATACTTAGTTCCTGCATCAGCCCAGGGTCATTGTCACCTCAGTGTGGTCTACAGCGCAGGTTGCAAGTCCAGCACTAAACTGGAGAGAATTTAACCATGGCCTGGCAAGATGACTCAGAGGGTAACGGCACTTACCATCAAGCTTAGTGACCTGAGTTTGATGGTAGATGGCAACTTGACCTCTGACCTCCATCCACTCACCCTAGCATATCCATACGTGCATGTGCTCACCCAATAAATCGTTTTTAAAAAAAAAATCATCTCACTCTCACAGCCTCATAGCACCTCATAGAAGGGAGCTATTCCATTTTTTCCCCGATGAAGACACTGAAGGACAGGTGGGTGACAGGACACCAGTACAAGAGGAAATGTCGGCCCAAGCTTCCATTTCCATCCCTGGATGTTAAGTCATGAGATACCACTACAGCTTCTTGTTGAGGCTGACTGGTGGAGTCTCAGCCCTGACCCCTCAGCCTCAAGTCTGACGCTTCTCGGTAGACGGGGACCAGATGAACTGTTTAAGGGATAAAGTTCTGGGGCGGCAGCCTGTAGTGCGGGATACTTGTGAGTGAGGACCATTCCGCCTCAATATCCGTCCTGGAGGCTGCACAACGGTGGGGATGGGGACCTGGTTATGCGCCCCGTGATCCTGCCAGCTAGTCTAGGCCATGGCAGCCTGTGAGGAGGGCAGCAGTGGGGTGATCTACCTTTCATGGATGAGAAATGGGGGGCACTTAGAAGTAGGGAGGGGGACATGTCAATTTGGTGTGGGGGGGCGGTGATGCTCTCATCCCCAGGCAGAAATCGTCCCAGGTCTACAGAAGCCACAGGGCCCCACTCATTACCTCTTCAGATATTTTTTATTTTTTGAAGTCTCAGGTAGCTCAGGCTGGCCTCAAACTCCCTGTCCTAGTTTGCTTTCTGTTGATGTGATAAAATATGGACCAAATATGACTTGGGGAGGAAATTATTCTTTTTAGTGTATAGATTATACAGTCTATCATGGAGGGAGTTGGGGCAGGAACCTGGGAGGCAGGAGCTGATGCAGAGGCTGTGGAAGAGTGCTGCTTACTGGCTTGCTCCCTGTGGCTTGCTCAGTTTGCTTTCTTATACCACCCTGGACCCCTGCTCAGGTAGCATCTCTTACAGTGAGCTTAGCTCTCCCACATCCTTAATGAATCAAGAATATCCCTCTAGAGATCTTCCCCAGGCCAGTGTGATGGAGGCAATTCTGTAATTGAAGTCCCTCTTCCCAGATGACTTTAGCTGATGTTGACAAAAACTGCATAGCCAAGGCTCTGCCTCCTGAGTGTTGAATGCCAGCCCTACACCACCATATCCAGGCACTCTTGATTTGTCTTCTAATATCCCATGAGGCTGAATGAGGATCTGTGTGTGGAGGCTGAGCCTGTGGGGATCTAGTGCTGACCTCCCCAGCACCCCCTGTCCAGTGTCCAAACAAGGTAAACTGGCTTCCGGACCCTGCCTTGAGGAAGGCCCACCCCTCAGCACCCTAAGCTAGCTCAGAGCCCAGTGTGTCCAGGAGGAGGATAGGTGCAGAGAACAAAATTAAGGAGACAAGAAAGGGTATAAGGGTCATGAGGGCTCAGAGTTGAGGTGGTGAGGAAAAGAGTCTGGGCAGCCATTAGTCCCTACCCCGCCCCTTCTGTCTACCTGGCATGCCAACTGTATGCCTGTTTCTTCTCTTTATGTACCAAGAGAGTCACCAAACCAATGTACCAGTCTGGGCTCACTGTGTCCATGGCCATCCCCTCTGCCTTCCCTATGTGCTTTGCATGTCACCACGGCTGACTGTCACCTTCACAGCCAGTGGCCACACAGGTATGAGCTCAGGCAGAAGGCTGAGTGTGGCCATATCATGCCATGTTCTTCCCATGCCACCCAGGTCCCCAGAACTGTATCCTGCTCCAGCTTCTGTTCTTTCCCCGGAGCCCTTAAGGCTGTCCACCTGTCCCCAGGTAGGATGGTCACTATGTAAATGTCTGTGCAAATGCCTCAGTGTGGGTCGACAGGCTCCACAGTAAGGTAGGGGCATCGCCCAAAGCTGTCACTGCGCTGTCATGGGGCCCCAGGCAAGGATGGTCCATTTGCTGCTTCTCCTGCTGCATGCTCTGACTCAGCCAGTTGAGCCGATAGAGAACTCCGACTTCCACCTGGCTGGGGACTACCTCCTGGGTGGCCTCTTTTCCCTCCATGCGAACGTGAAGAGCATCTCCCACCTCAGCTACCTGCAGGTGCCCAAGTGCAACGAGTGAGTCCCCACGTGAAGCTGCAGGTGGCTGGGGAGGGCGAGGCAAGGCATGGAGTCAGGACCAGGGAAAGGGTTGTCCTCAGGAGGCCGGGCCAGGGCCCAGAATGCTCATTCATTGCCAGCTGTCCAATCCTAGATCCAGCCCGCTAGTCTCCAGTGTCCCCCATCCCCTGCCCAGTCTGTGTTGCTGAAATTTTAAGCAGTTGTGTTTGTAACCCTGAGACCTGGATTGCCCCTATGTTATATCTCTGGAAAGACGGGATGTTTAAGCTCACAGGGTCACCATCAAAGCCATCCTTATCCATGTTGGCAAATGTGGGAGTGCCAGTAAGACCATGCCAAAGCCTTGTCTAGACTCCAGGCTGCCTTGCCAGGATGGTGTTTGGATAGCAGGTTCCAACACTAGACGCTGAAGAGAGCTTTGTATTTTCCAAGGTTGTGGCTGGGGGAGACAGGGAGTGCTCAGAGAGTCCTCCTCCCCCCTCTTTGAGCCATTTGGGGAGATTGAATGTGCACTGGAGCCATCCTGACATTGCTCAGGAGGTGGAATGTTCTGGGAGAAAGGGAAGAGTGAGGGGGAGAGGAAGGGCTGACTAAGGCTTGGCTGTGGGAATTC